TGGTTTCTCTTGACACTCCTTGGTCCCAGGGGCTGATTTACCCACAGGACAAATCCCTAGACATGGATTTCTGCATTAAAGGGTCTGTGCCCCCTAGAAGGCTGGTCTGTACTCGTGATCAGTGTTAACCTTCCTTTAAGTTTTGAAGACCATCTGCTGAGAACTCCTTAACACTGCCACACACGAACCTCCAAGTCAGATGGTATTGCTTTCTTTTTTCCAGCTTTATTGAAGTGTATTTGATGAGACCTTGTTTGCATTCAAGAAATGCAATGCAGCTGGGCGTGGTGGCGCACACCTTGGATCCCAGCACTCAGGAGGCAGAGGCAGGTGGATCTCTGTGAGTTCAAAGCCAGCCTGGTCTACATAGCGAGTTCCAAGCCAGCTGGGGCTATACACACACACACACACACACACACACACGCACACGCACACGCACACGCACACATGCACGCACGCACTCGCACACACACGGTGATCACTACAATCAAGCTGTGTAACGTGTCCCTCACCTCACCCAGGTCTTTCATACCTAGCTCCATCTAGCTCCTATGACCTGCTGAGGCACTGGGATCTCTGGAACTCAGCTTCAGACAGAAGCCAGAGTCACTTGACGCCATGCCACTGGCAGAGACCACCCACTTTTCAGCTTGAGGCCCTAGCCCCTGACACTTGATGCCTTTGTGAACTCCTTGTCTTTTATGTTTTGATGAATTATTCTCTGGCATGAGAACCAGTCAATGTCCTCTCTCACCCCTGGCTTTCTAGAAACTGCATCTATATTTAGCTTGGTTGCACCACCCCTGGCCCCCTTCCTGACTAGGGTATAATTACCAGCTGTCCAGAGAATGACAGGGTTCAGGCTTAGAGAGCAGCAGGGTCACTGGGCTCCTGGGGACTCAGAAGGCTCTTGTTTCTCAAAACCAAACCAGCTCATGGGCAATTAGTTCTGGGAGGAAGGGAGGGTAGGGTGTGGATCTTTAGGACAAAGCACAGAGCCAAGACTGGGCGATCTAGCTGCCCTGACTCCTTGTGGGCAGAAACTAGATGACAGCCACATGTGTAAGTGCCCTTACAAGGTGGGAAGACAGACAATAAATTGGCCTTCAAGCCAGCAGGACCTGTGGCCCAGCAAACATCCATATTAGAGCAGGCATACCTGAAAGGCAGCCCTGGGATCTGGTCCTGGTTCCAGATGCCAGTGAGTTTTCCAATGCCTCCCAGGGCGTGATATCAAAACTCTGTCTTACCAGCCACCACCTCCTTCCTCTGGTTCCATTTTAGAGGGCCTCAGGAAGAACTGGTTACCGTATTGTTTGTTTTGAGACAGGGTCTCACTATGTAACCCTGGCTGGCCTGGAACTCTCAATGTAGACCCACCTGACCACAAATTCAGAAATCCACCTGCCTCTGCCTCCCGGTACTAAGACTAAAGGCGTGTGCCACCTTATTATTTATAATTATGATGGTAATTTAAAAGCTTTATAAGCTTACAGGCTGCTTCTTTCATTGCTCCAAAATTATTAAGACACTACAGGGTCAGTGGGTGGCAGGATATGCTGTGCAAAAGACTAAGAGCCCAGCTGCATACTTTTCAATGCCAGCCCAGCTCTCCTGTGCCTGGACCCAGAAGGTGCTCAGGGCTTTTTACTCTCCTCCTGTTCCTGCTCCTGCTCCTCCTGCTCCTCCTGCTCCTCCTCCTCTTCTTCCTCCTTAACCTCGTCCTCTCAATCTCATTTTCCCTCTTTTCCTTCTTTCTTTTACACTTGGATTTCATACTATAACTCATAAACCAGAAGGAAGAGCACTGAGGGGCCTCCCTCCCCAGTATTTTCCTTTAATCCAGTTCATCATTTTTTTTTACATTCTGACCCCCAGCTTCCTTAGAATCCATCCTGGTGTCAGATGAAATTGGGCTCTTTCCAACCTCTGGTGTGTGGAAATCTGAAATGGTCTTTTTATTTACTTGCTTGTTTTTGTTTTGAGACAGGGTCTTACTATGTAGCCCTGGTTGGTCTAGAACTCACTATGTTGACTAGATTGACCTTGAACTCACAGAGTTTGACCTGCCTCTGCCTCCTGAGTGCTGAGACTAAAGGTGTGCACCACTATGTCTGACTAGATTTTTTTTTTTTAATGAAAAAGATGGTGATGCTCCAAAATACCTTTCCTGGCAAACTTGCAGTTTGGAGTCTGTTCCTGTGATGGTCAGCGGTAACTGTCAGCGTGGCAGGATTTAAAATCTTCCGGGCCGTGGGCCTCTGAGCATGCCTGTAGGGGATTATCTTGGCCACCTTAATTGAGATGGGAAGACCCACCCAGCTTGGATGGTACCATTCCCTGAGCAGGGGATCTTGGACTACATGAGTGAAAAAAGCTAGCCGAACACTAGCATGTAAACATTCATTGCCCTCTGCTCCCGATTATGGATGTGATGTGACAACCTGCTTCAGGCTCCTTACTCTGATTTCCCTGATGCACCGGGAGCTGAAATAAACCCTTTCTCTCTTAAAGGTGCTTTTGTCACAGTATTTTATCATAGCAAGAGGAAAAGAAACCATGCTAGTCCCCCAATAAGGATCAAAAGACAGACTCCTAGTCCTCCTTCTGATGTCTAGAAAGCTCTCTACCCGACCAGGTGCTTGTGAGGCTCAGCCACGCCACTGTGCTGGGTACATCATGGGAGTTCTTCTTGGCACCCATGACCTAGGAGATTCTACAGTAAGAGCTCCTAACCAGACAGTGGGTGGAGGAGACAGTAGCCGCCCTCAGACCCAGGACAAATTGCCTAGTTGTGAACAAAAAGGAAATGAGCATTTGGTCTGAATTAGAAACTTCTGGTCTTTGAGTAGGTTTAGAGAATTGTGGGCATTTGTGGTAACAGGTGAAGCCTCAAGAACCACAGGAGGAAGGAGGAAGGGAGGGGCACATGGCTCACATCCTGGAATAGACCCATGTGATGATGATGATCTCATTCCTGGGTAACCCTGACAGTTCCCAAGGTGCTTCTGTATTCTGCTGTCCTTCAGGAAAGGACCGTCACTGCAATAGAGGTAAAAAGTTGAAAGGCTTCTTAATCCCACAAAGGTGGACACGGGCCACCTCTCAGTCATTCTCTGAATACTTACTGCAGGGGCAGGACTGACCAGACTTTGGCCAAACTGTCCCTAACAGCCTGGTACTATCTACTTCCATTGTAACCCTGGATCTGCTGGTGCTCCCTTGGGTAACAAGGATTGTCACAAGACAGTGCCAGAGCCCAAGTCCACAGCCACCACAGGTACTTGCTCCATCTGGATCACCCTTGGCCTTGAGCTGTGCTCAAAGGCCTGCAGCTTCCTGGGACTATTTGACGGAGTTCTAAGAACTTTACTGAGCACTTAGAGTTTCTGGAGTGAAAAGCAATCCAAGAAGTTAGAAGGTGGGTCTCAGATCTTAAGACTCCCATATCTGAGAGCCTTAGCTTCTTAATAAGTAGCTTCTTTCTTTCTTTTTTTTATGTGTGTGAATGTTTTTGCCTGCGTGTATGTATGTGCATGTGTGCAGTGCCTGAGGAGGCCAGAAGGGGGCATCAGATCCCCTGGAACTAGAGTTACAAATGGTTGTTAACTGCCATGTGGGTGCTGGGAACCGAACCCAAGTCCTCTGCAAGAGCAGCTAGAGTTCTTAATCGCTGAGCCATCTCTCTAGCCTCCTGAGTAGTTTCTTAACCTCAGTGATCCCCTCCATTAAATAAGGATGTCATACTAATGGTCCTTTGAATGGACCCAAGAGTCAATGACTAGCTACGGCCGCTGCAGAGGCTCTGGGATCTTCTTCCCATCTATGGTCCCAGTCTGTTTGGTATCCTTCTGAGTTTGTTGATTGGAGAGTGTAGTTGTCCTAACCCCCCTATTCCAGTGCATGTGAGCTGCTCGTCATTTTTGTAAACCAAGAATCATAGGTGGCATCTGGCATCTGGAAATGATGGCATCACTTGCTTAGCTCTCGGATACAAAGGGCTGGGCTGGACTGGGACTTTGCAGCTGAGGCTTGGGCATCTCCACGCTCAGCAGCTACTTGGAAGATACTGCTGCTCATATAAAAAGGTGATTCTATCACCAGCTTCCACAGCTAAGCCTTATCATGTGGTCTGTGGAGAAGAGTAGGGCCTACCCCTGCTGGGGTGAGGCGGTGCCATAAATACCAGGGAGGCACTATGAGGAAGGGGTTCTTCCTGCAGCCTCTCAAAGGCCACACATGTGGAACTAGGAAAGTCAGCCTTCAAGCTTGTACATGTGCACAAGAGTATGTGAGCACAACACCACACACACACACACACACACACACACACACACGTGCACACACACATACAGATAGGAGGGAGGAGGGGAGGGAAATTTACATAGGATAGCGGGGTAGGGTGCCACCTTCCTAGTTAATAACTTTCTGGTAGCTTTCTGCTCTCTCCAAGTCTTTGATTCCTGTGCCTTTTGGAAACCAAGGACAGACACCAGGTCCCCATCGCTCATCTAGCCTCATCTGGCAGGTTAGCAAACATCTAGTGCGATGATCTGACCTGGGGCCTTTTCTCCCTTTTCCGTATACCTGTCACACATCCATCCCTGCATTACAGGATGTGGGTCGCAGACATCTAGGCTCTGGAAGGCTGCGGTTCTTGCCTCTCATGAAAGCATTAAAAGGGCTATTCTGCGGGTAGAAATAGCTTGGAAATTTGACTTGTGTGTTTCCTGAATTATTTAAAGAGGGAAAAAGGAGAGGGTAACAAAGGACTGTAAAAGTAAGTAAAAGCAGTCATGGTCAGTGAGTAGGCAATGAGGGAAGGAGGGACTGGTCAGTGCAGGGCAGCGCACAGGAACATTGAGAGTAGCCCAGAAGAATGGAGATCTAGGGCCCTGTGGGCAGGTCTCCATGGCCACAGCCCTGACAGGCCATTCCCAGCCATGGCTCCGCAGCCATCAGGTCAGTAACCCAAGGCACCATCATGTTCTCTTTGGCAGGAGGAGCATGAAGCGGAAAGCGCTTTTCACCTGTCCCTTCAACGGAGACTGCCGCATCACCAAGGACAACCGGCGTCACTGCCAGGCCTGCCGGCTGAAACGCTGCGTGGACATCGGCATGATGAAGGAATGTGAGTGTCCAGGGGACAGGCAGGGGTAGGGGCTGAACTGGGGTCACAGGAAGGCTTTGGCCACTGTCATGTGGGTGTCTCTGCAGAGATCTGCCTGTACCTACTCCTTAGCACCAAGCATCCTAGACCAGGAGGGGTATGGGGAGGGTAAAGCTGCCGGGGCTGCAGCTTGGGTTCTTTGGCAAGGAGAGAAGTCATTGAACTCAGCAGATGCTAGAAGGGGCTCAACCAGGGCCTCCTGGGCTGGGACACAGGCACTGGGCCAGCACAGGAGCCTGCTGCAGGCTCATCCCCACTGTGTTACACGGCTGTCAGCATTTGTACCCAGACCCCCACCCTGTCCTGGGGATATAGCCCATGCCTTGCCAGGCTGTGGACCCTGAGGCGCCTCAGGAGGTTTGAAGCTCTCCTGGCTAGGGGAATGTTTGTGAGGAAGTAGGTGGAGACCAGGAAGACATGTCAAGAGCAGGGGAAAGTCATTGAACAGGGCTTAGGGGGTGAGAAATTCTTTCTTGAGGGGAGGAAAATGCACTGTTGCCAAACAGCAGAGGCAGAGTGGGCTCTTGCCTTGGGCCTCCGCCTAAGGTCTTTGCCTTGGATCTTCGCTCCCGATCCCAGCTCCCAGCCAACACTGGCAGCCCTGAAAGGAGTTTCCAGACCTTGCTTGCTGCTCACCGCTGGCAGGCCTGGACACGCCATTCACTGCTACCTAGTTGCCGCCCCACCCTGCCTCCTGTGTTTATACTGGAAAGTGAGAACATGGAGGCCCAAGGCCAGCACCTTATAGGCCTTCTCGAACACTCTCTGTGGGGCCTGTTCTGTGTCATGTACTCAGGTGAGCACACAAGGTACCCTGCTTCTGCAGAACACTATACCTCTTCAGAGCCGGGAGCTTGGAGTCCTAAGGCTCCTGTCATCCAAGAATGGTATAGGGCTATTGTCAGGGTTCAGTAAGAGTTTGTTGCAAACCTTGAAGGTCCTCTGAGACCAAGAAAGGACAAAAATCAGCACTGAGGTCAGAGAGCAAGTTGGTTGTTATCTGGGACTGGAATCTAACTCATACCCCTTCCTAGAACCCTCAGGAGACGTACAAGGTGCAAACGCACTGTACAGGATAGACTCAGCCCCCAAGTGCTAAGTCAGGAACCCCTGTTCTAGAAACACTACATACACCATGCAATGAGGCCAGACAGACATAAATAGATAGCCGCTCCAAGGCAGCTTTGGGCCTCAGCTCGGTCCTCCGTGGAGTCTCACATTCCCTGTCCGGAGCTGCACTGGGCTATGTATGGCTGATGGGGTGGCACCCAGAGCTCCATTTAGAACATAATCATTTGGCACTGTTTTGAAGGGAAGCTTGTCCCCAAGAAATGCAATTCCTGTCTCAGGGCACCCCAGGTTTACATGTCTGGCATGGAGTCCTTGGCTCAGAAGCCTTTAGAGCGGCTCACTGACCTCCTGCACTGGCTTTGGTCCCCTAAGGCCTCATCTTCCAGAGATAATCAAGTGTCTCACTGTTTGCAACATGCTAGGAAAAGGTCATATACCCAGAGTCTCTTCTGGCCAGAGCAGAGAAGTAAGCCTTCCATAGGCAGGCCTGAAAGGGGAAGCCCATGGAAAAGCAGCCAGGACAGGAACGAGTGTTTATTTGCAACCCACTATGTGCCAAATACTGTGTCAGGCACATTCATTTTCTCCCTAAATTCTTACAGAAACTCCAAACATGTAACTACTCCTATTTTTAGCAGTTAAGAAAGTGCAAAAGAATTAAAATATTATCTCTTGCTGGGTGTGGTGGCGCATGCCTTTAATCCCAGCACTCGGGAGGCAGAGGCAGGTGGATCTCTGTGAATTCAAGTCCAGCCTGGTCTACATAGTGAGTTCCAGGAGAGCTGGAGCTACAGGGAGACCTTGTCTCAAAAAAGACCAAAATAAAACAAAGCAAAACAAAACAGCTATGATTTGGGATCTGTAACGAGCAGCAATTTCCCTACCTTTGCCATCAGATAGATATCTAATTTCATTACCTTTCAATGTATATATATATATGTCTCTGAGATAACAAGATGGTGGTATTAATTGTCATCCTGACCTAGGTCTGGCTCCTGGGCTCCATCCCAGAGTAGCCCCTTAGGCACTCCCTGTAAGTCAAAGCTCAGTCTATCTCCAGGAGTCTTAAGGGACATATTGAGAGCTTTCTCATACAAAGACCCCTTTCCTCTGAGGTCTGTTTATGGACACTTCATATTTGAGGTCTGTTTATGGACACTTCATATTTGAGGTCTGTTTATTGCTCATGTTATTTGTGAGACAGGATCTTGCTGTGTAGCTCAGGCTGGCCTCACACTCTCAGCCACCTGCTTCGGGCTCCTGTGCATGGAGTTAAGTTCTTGCATCTTATTTATAACTGTACCCATACTGCACAGAACCACCTGCTATGGTAACTTGAATGTTTTTATAGATACATATCTTTTCCCCCAAGTCTCCTGGTGCTAGTACAGCACCTGGGACATAGTGGGTACTCAATAAATGTGTTAAATGAATGAACATCTGCCCACTGTGCTTTCATCTCTAGATCGCCATTGGTCTGTACAGGTCAGTCAACTTAGCCTAAATCTGATACTGTCTAGATTGTTCATTTGAGGAAAGACGTTAGGTCCTCTTTCTTGGTGTTCTGAGATCACCAGCAGTATCTTTAAATGTTTTTAAATTGCTCATGACTTGACTTCCCAGCTCAAAAAGTTAAGACAGGGAACATATTTTGCATGCAAATAACTTGTGCAAGCCCCCCCCCCCCACCAAGGGACTTGAAAGGAAGTAGAGAAAGCTACTCAGCGATCCTATGGGTTTCACAAAGCCAGGTCATTGAGGTTCATGAACTTGGTTCATTGCTGACCTCATCCAGCTCTTAGCTCTTTCAGAACCCAGTTACTAGGTCACTGGCTTTCACTTCAAAACGTGCCTTCTATTACACAATAATGACATCTAAGTGGAAAGTCATGGAGAACATGACTATAAAATGTCTTGAGAAATTAATAACCCCTTTAAGCAAATTATTTCCTAAATCACAATAGCACCTGGATATGTGAGAGATGTGTGATGGTCTCTAGTGAGTGCTGCCTTGTGGAGGTCCTAGACAAGAACTAGCAGGCCTCAGATTCCTTCCTTTAGTCCCTGCACACAGGATGGTCAGGCTGCTGTTTGATATAAGCAGCTGGGAAGAAGTGTTCAAGGTTAACTTTGAACTTTAATATCACATTTATGTATTTATTCATTTAATTAATTAATTTATTTATTTATGGCATGTACCATGACACACTTATGGAAATCAAATGACAGCTTGTGAGAGTCAGTTCTCACCTTCTACCACGTGGGTCCGAAGTATTGAACTCAGATCCCCAAGCTTGGCAGCAAGCACCTTTACCCACAGAACAATCTTGATGGTCCCTGAAGGTTAACTTTGAATCTTCTTTGTCTTTTTCAAGCAAATCATTGACAAGCTTTTCTACTTCAACTGTTCACACTCTTAGGCTTCATGGGACACTTTGTGTCAGGACTCTATCCATGGCTGAGAGAGAGTCCCACTGAGCAGTCACAGGTGGATATAGACAGAGGCAGACAGGCTGGTCGGCACGGCCATCCACTCCAGAACCAGATGGTCCAGGTCTGAATGCCAGCTCTACCATTTTGTAGTTGTGTTACTCTTAGCAAGACTCATAGCCTCTCTGGGCCTCAGCTTCCTCATCTGCAAAATGAAGATAATAACAATATTTGCCTTAAAGGATTGTTTTATGTGAGTCAATGTGCAAAAAAGTACTTAGAATAGTGTTTGGTAGATTTAAAAAAAAAAACACCAGATAGGTTATTCATTATTATTGATACTATCTTTTTATTACACCAAACTTGATCACCAGAATTTCTAGCTCCCAAAAGATCAAAAGTAATATCAAGGCAAGAAAGGCACGCTTTTAGAGGCAGGTGCCAGTAAACAGAGAACACACAGCTCAGCAGAGGTGGAGACCGAAGCTGTGCAAAGTCACACTCAGACTCTGAGTTCATGACCATGCCTGTGGAGATCAGTGGGATTCGGAATGCTGCCTCTGAGTCACTGAGTTTATGAGTTTATGGATGTTCTGGGTGTTCCTTACAGATTAGTCTGTCTTGAAAGCATTTTAGTCACAATTATTTAAATAAAAGAAGTCAGCCTACCTCAGTTACTTAGTGGCCCCACATGCTGTGGGGGCCATTTATGTCACTGCAGAGTCCAGACAGCCTAGTGCATTCCTCTCCGACCTTCTCTGAGCCATGAAAACAATTTGCACATAGTAGACACTCTCTGTGCTGATGGCTTGCTATTTGGGGTCAGACTATCCAGGAACCCCCCCACCCCCACCCCGCCCCGGCTAGCCTCTGTAGGCCCCTGTCCTTAAATAACCTATGGTCTAGTGAGGGAGACCTTGAACTTCCTCAGTTTTTCTGTCGGTATTTATTAGAACCATACTTAGCATGAATCCCAAAGAGTGGAGACTTAGTGCCAGTGTGTGTGGAAAACACTAACTATGCAGCAGGCGTAGGGGACAGGCGCTCAGAGTGGACCAGGGCAATCAAGAAAGGCTTTGTGACAAAAGGGGCCAATAAGCTAGCCACTGAAGAAAGGAAGCGTACACAGCTAGCTGTTGGGGAGGGAAGACCCAGGGGACAGGCGTCCAGCACAGGTGGGAATGTAGGGGCAAGTATGAACAGGTTGTGTTCACAGGTCAGCAATGCCAACACACCTAGAGTCAAAGCTACATCCAGGGCTGCTAAGAAACGAGGTTGGAAAGAGTTAAGAAGCCGGATCATGAAAGACCTTGACTTTGATTTGGCATTGGCAAACAGGACAGAGCCAGACGTTTGTAAGTAGAAGACTAGCATCACAGAATCCCAGAGGGCTAACAAAATCTGTCAGGCTGAGCAGCGTGCCCTCCTAGGGACTGAGCAGACATTCTCTGTGTGGAGAGAGTTGGCAGTTCTCTGGGCTGGTGAGTCAGTCACCTGGGCATGGCCTCCTCCCAGCACTGTTCTTGGGGCTGTGTACTTCAGCCATGGAGGAAACGTTCCATCTTTCCTGAAGGCTCTCCTCTCCTGCTGTGCCTGCGGCTCTGGTCGTCCACTTCTACCTACCCGTAGGTACTTCTCCACCCCCACTGACTTCTCTCACCCTCTCCCTCCCTAAGGGGCTGGGACCAATGGACTTTTCTTGAAGTTCTGAAGCCATCCACTCTCAGGTTCTGGTTCCCTTCCCTGCTCTTGTGAAACTCCACAGTTCTGTGGGCAGATGCCCTGGCAGCTCAAACACAGAGCAAGTAGGTACAGGCTGAGGGCCAGTGCCCACTCCTGCCCTCAGGCTCTGCAAGCCCTGACCAGGAGGTCTGTTTGCATGGCTGCTGTGCCAGGCACCCCTACTCCACCTTTGTGGGCAGCTGCCCTGGCACAGAGTGGTGGGTACCACCACAGAAGACCCTGCACAGGCCTGCAGGTGACAGAGGTCTCGTCTCCCGTAGTCGTTCATCTGCTAGTGACTGGAAAGAGGGCCCTGCGTTGGGGCTGTGAGGCACCAGTCTTCAGGGATTCCAAGAGGGCTCAAACCTCCATAGAACAGAAGTTTATGAAAAGACAGGCTGGAGGACAGAGATGTTTCGTGGAGAAACAAAGACACAAAGTCTTTTCACTTTGGTCAAAGCAGAGCAGATGGCTGAGCTCCATGTCAGGAAATGAGAACTTAGAAATGGCCACATTAAGAAGCCTTCTCCGCATCTCCTAGCTTCTAGCACAGGAAAGGCCCACACAGTTCCTCGCATCCTCACTTCCCCGGATATCTCCTTCAGGACCATAGATCATGAGGTGTGGCCAGGGACTAACATTTAACACTGTGCCAGGTACACAGAGAGTTAGTAAAACAGATGGGCTTTTGAAGTAGTCGCCTCCTCCTCCTCCTCTTCCTCCTCCTCTCCTCCTCCTCATCTCTTCCTCTCCCTCCTCCTCATCTTCCTCCTCCTCTTCCTCCTCCTCCTCTTCCTCCTCCTCCTCTTCCTCCTCTTCCTCCTCCTCCTCCTCCTTCACCTCCTGCCCCCAACAGAAAAGAGACCTTGGAACCCATATGCCCCTAACTGCTCATTTGATAAGCAAGTAAAGAAAAGCCCAAAAAGTTTGTGCAGTTTTCCTTCAGTCCCACAACTTGACCTTGAGAAACTAGACTTCCTCCATCAGCCGCTGACCCTTTCAAATCCTCGCCCCCTCTCACGTGCACCTACCTTTTCACTGTAGAAATCCCAGTTTCCTCCACATCGTGGCATTGGAGCTACCATGGCAGTTGGGTCCTAGGAGGTCCCAGTGCAAGGCGCTGACCAGCCCCTCCCATGCTGGACCTTTAGCTTGGAGGAATGGTTTCTCAGGACTCCCCTTCCTGCCCCCACAGTCATCCTGACGGATGAGGAGGTGCAGCGCAAGCGGGAGATGATCCTGAAGCGAAAGGAAGAAGAGGCCTTGAAAGATAGTCAGCGGCCCAAGCTATCCGAGGAGCAGCAAAGCATTATAACCATCCTGCTGGACGCCCACCACAAGACCTATGACCCCAGCTATGCTGACTTCAGCCAATTCCGGGTATGTCTGCTGCCCAAGGAGTGAGCTAACCTAGCGGAAAATCACAGATATCCTAGGCATAGGCAGTGGGACGGAGGGCCAGCGGCCTGCGGGTACAGAGCCAGGGAAGGGAGGTGGCTCTGCCTGTCACAAGACCTTCACCTCCCACAGACCGTCTTTAAAGTCATTGTTCTGAGAGGCAGGAAGGTGTCCCCAAAATAAGGGCCTCTGAGAGCCCATCTTTCTCTTCTAGCCTCCCATTCGTACAGGTGAGAGTGGAGACAGCTGTCCTCCAGGACCCACACTCACCTTCTCCGGGGACTCCTCCTCCAGCTCCGATCTCTACACAACTTCAGTAGGTAAGCAGAGCTCCAACCAAGTGAGTGGGGGACAGGAGCCCACCCGACCTGCCCTTGGGCTGTAGGTAGGAAGGACAGAAGGCTCTTGGATGTGAACAGCATTTTTTACTGTGTGCAGCACCGTGTCCTCGATGCAGCCTCAATGTGCCTTGTGTAGGACCCATGCTGGGAAGAGCCAAGCTGGGTTCTGGCTGTGCAGGGGTTGACCTCCTGGGCCAGAGCTCAACTTCTGAGCCCTATTCTAGCCTTGACTTCCTCCCTGGGGTGACCTGGTTCTTTTATATAATGTTTTGGTCTTCGGTTCTTTGGAAGGTGAATTGGAGAAGGAAGAACTGGGCCCCATGACCTGAGCCCTGGGCGGGAGGGGGAGACCAACTGCTATGGTCCTGGACAGGACTGTTACCTCCAACCATCCTGAGAGTCTGGGAGGCATCAAACTATTCTTCTCTCAGCCCTCTTATACAATTGTCTTCATCATCCTGCCTTGCCCTGCCCTGTTCTTTCTCCCTCTACCTCTCACCCAGCCCTGGTACTAAGGGTCTGGAGGAAGGTGGAAGTGGAAATCTGTCTCCCCTCTGGACAATTATTGCCTTCAGATACAGAACCTCCGGACTCTGTGCCACCTGTGCATGAATCTAGAGTGACAGGAAAGAGTCCCAGTGCCAAGTGGACAAAGGCAACAGTTAGCGCAGACAGTGTCCACTCACCAGATGTGAGGGGAGAGAGTTAGTCAGGCACTGAAGAGCAGCGCTGGCCATGGGTGAACTGACTGACCCTGCCCGGGCCTCCCTTCACAGGGTCCTCCCCAGTGTTCACACTGCTTCTCACCTGATAACGTAGTCCGAGAAGTTATGGACAAGCAGTGGAAATTGTACACTGGTCTGTACTTCAGTTTCTAAGAGTCATGTAGGTGATTTTAGACTTTTCATAAGCTCATTGATTCAAGGTCCTTCACCCACCATTAGGATGTTCAGTATATATTTATTTCATATATTTATTTTATATATTAAACTCAGGAAGTCAAAATATTGTTCTTTAAAAAATTATTATTGGGGCTGGAGAGATGGCTCAGTAGTTAAGAGCACTGACTGCTCTTGCAGAGGACACGGGTTTGGTTTCTAGTCCACAGTGTGGCTAACAACCATCTGTAACTCCAGTTCCAGGGGATCTGACACTCTCTTCTGACCTCCAAAGCATTGCACGATATGGGTATGCTGCATGCAGGCAGGCAATACATTCATACACATAAAATAAAAATAATAAATAAGATATTTAAAAAATTATTATACAAAGGATACACTATAAATACTGAGAAAATGTAAACTAAAATTTATGTATATAAATTTTATTACATGCAACCTTTTTTTGTTTGGTTGGTTTTCTTTCTTTTCTTTTTTTTGGGGGGCGGTCTCCCTGTAGCCCCAGCTATCCTGGAACTCACTATGTAGACCAGGCTGGCCTTGAACTCACAGAGATCCGCCTGCCTCTGCCTACCAAGTGCTGGGACTACAGGCATGCGCCACCATGGCCGGCTTATTACATGCAATCTTTAATCCTACCGCTCAAAGAAAATTATTGTTAATATGTTGATGTATGTCTTTCTTATCTTAATAGTATATTGCATTATATTTCCATGTCATTCAATATGAATTAAGCCTATAGTTTTGTGGCTGGTAGGAGGGCTCAGTGGGGTAAAGCACTTGCATGCGAGCCTGAATTCAATCCCTGGAACTCATGTAATGGTAGGAGAAAACCAGATCCACAAAGCTGTCTTCTGATCTCCACATGCAATCTATTTGATCCCCAGCAACACACACACACACACACACACACACCACCACCACCACCACCACTACCAACAACAACAACTACTACTACTACAATAATAACAATATATTTAAAGGCTATAGTTTTTAAAGACTGCACGATATTCTGAAATATAACATATCAAAATCCCCCTATGGTTGGATGTTTCCCATGTCTAGATTGTTTCACAGTTTTTCAATAAGATAACTCTTTGCTTGTGAATATTTATATTTGTATCAATTCTTATGATGAACTCATGGAAGTGGGATTAACGCACACATAATTATAAGCATTCTCTCTTTCTGAGTTTGTGTGTGTGTGTGTGTGTGTGTGTGTGTGTGTGTGTGTGTGTGTGTTGCTGGAAATCAAACTCAGAGCCTCATTCGTGCTCAGCAAAATTCGTCTCTTATTTAAGACAGGGTCTTGCTATGTAGCCCAGGCTGGCTTCAAACTGTCCATCCTCCCATCTCCACCTCCTAAGTATTGGGATTATAGGCATGCATGACCATACCCAGCGACCAGAGGCTTTTCACTCCTAATTTCAAATCACTTTTTAGATTTCCTGCACAGTTGTGCATCTTCTGCAGCATCCACCACTGCCTAAGAATTTCCTTAACGTGGGGCTGGAGAGATGGTTCAGCGTTGAGTTCTTGCTATTCTTGTAGAGGACCCGAGTTCCATTCCCAGCCCCTATGTTGGATGGCTCACAACTGCCTGTAATTCCAGCTCCAGGGGCTCTGACACTCTCTTCTGGCCTCCACACACACACATAAATACTAAAACCTTTTTTTTATGAAAAGGATTTCCACAGGGTGTAGTAGCACATGCCTTTAATCCCAGCTGAGGGGATTAAAAATCCTCTGCTGAGGCAGAGGCAGGCAGATCTGTGAGTTTGAGGCCAGCCAACTGGTGAAACGACCCTGTCTCAAACACAAAACCAAGGGGCTGAAGAGATGACTCAGTGGTTTAGAGCACTGGCTGCTCTTGCAGAGGACCTCAGCATCCATAGGGCAGCTAGTAACCACCTTCAGTTACTAGTGCTAACTCTGGTCTCTGAGGTGCATTTACCAGCAAAACACTCATACACATAAAATAAAGAAATTTAAATAAAATCAAAACAAACCCCAGAATTTTGTTAATACTTAAGGGTTTACAAATATGGCACATGCCTTTAATCCCAGCACTCAAGAGGCAGAGGCAGGTGGATCTCTGTGAGTTCAAGGCCAGCCTGGTCTATTTAGTGAGTTCCAGGCCAGCTGGGGCTATGGGGAGACATTTTTGTTTCAAATTTATGTTAGAAAGTATAAATTTTTCTCTACTTTGCAGTAATTTGATCACTGACAAGATTTAACTTTTTGCCCATGGGTTGAGGGGTCCCAAATTCATTCTTTATTGCAATCATAAAGAAGACTCTGAATAATGATAGCTCTTGAGAGTCTCTGGTCCTTTGATGTAACTGCCTCATACTGCTAAAACATGAGCTAGGGAGAGACCCAGAAGGAATCTGGGGGGAGGGGGGCCTGGAAGAAGGCTGTCATCTTGGGACCTTCAGCCGGCTCTGCTGCCAGGGTACATGAGGTCCTCCCAGGGGCAGGCAGGAGGGGCCGGGCCCAAGTAGCCTTCAATAGTTTCTGCTTTTTTCTCATCGTACCCAGACCTGATGGAACCATCTAATTTCTCCAACCTGGATCTGAATGAAGATGTTTCTGAATACTCTTCCTTGACTCTGGATCTGTCCCACCTCTCCATGTTGCCCCACCTGACTGACCTTGTCAGTTATAGCATCCAAAAGGTCATCGGCTTTGCCAAGATGATCCCAGGATTCAGGTAAGAAACATATCTGGGAAACAGAATCCTGTGAGGAGCTAGGTGTTCCCCACAAATAGAGCCTAAGACCCCGCCCAGACCTCCTGAGCCTAACTCTGGAAGAAGCCTAGGACTGTGTTATAGTATGCATAGCTGTCCAGCATTACTCTGTGAGCCAGTCCTGGAGAAAGCATCCACAAGAGTGGGTCCACCCCTCACTTTCTGGATGATGAAATGAAACCCCACTGGGAGTTCATGGCCATCTCGGATCCCATTCTGATGTCAGAACCAGGCTGAGGATCCCAGTTCCTGCTTGTCCATTCCTGCTGGCTTGAAACTAGTCCTCAAACATCCTTTTAGATTCATCCTACAAGATTCATCCATATCCAACTCTGAGACCAGGACGAATAGTAAAGAGAATGCATAGGGCTTCTAGACTTAGGAACTATCTAGGAATCCCAGAGAAATGGAGGCAGGTTCACTGACATATATGACTTGGCCATCCTTTACTCAAACTTGTATAAAAACACCATCTCCTAATCATACTGAGCCCTTCTTACCCAAATAGATAGATTTTGGTTAAGAGTTCTGTTAGAGTAGAAATTTTCCTTTACGAAGTTTTTCATACAAATTTTACTCATTCATTTCAGTGCTTTGGTTTTCTAATAAAAATGGCATATAGCAACAGGGAGTTGCTCAGTGGATAAAGCACGTGTGTACAGGCATGAGGGCCAGAGTTCAGATTCCCTAGAACCATCATAAAAAATCCAGATGACTATGGTGGCCCACCTGTGATCCCAGCACTCAGGAGGCAGAGACAGAGGATCCATGGGACAAGCTGACTAGATAGACTGGCCAAATCAGACCTCTCCAGGTTCAGCAAGAGACCTTGCCTCAATATACAAGGTAAAGAGAGATCAAAGGAGATACTCAGTGTCGACCTCTGGCCTCCACAAATGTGCACACATTTGAACATGCACACACACACATACACATGTATGATACTTATATTTGTTTTGTTTTGATTTGATTTTGGGGTTTGTTTTTTTTTTTCAGAAAGGGTCTTCCTATAGCCCCAGCTGTCCTAGAACAACTCACTCTGTAGATCAGGCTGGCCTTGATCTCACAGAGATCTGCCTGCCTCTGTCTCTGCCTCAGGAATGCTGTCATGGAAGGCATGTGCTGCCATGCTTAGCTGATACTTAAATTTGAATGTTCTTGCAGATTAAGTACTCTTAAAGCAATAGAGTATTGTCATCTTAGTGGATATATTGGGAGATACGTAAATCTGTATTGTAAAATATCCTCTCTCTTTCCAGAAGTTCATGAGGTACATGGCCATAAAGTATGTTCACAATGTGGTCAGGAAATAGGAAGAAGTCAGTCAGTATGAAGCAATGCCACTGCCATTTCCAGTGGTACCAATAGTCGTGGCTGTAGCAGAAAGAACACTGTGCCAGGGTACAACATAGTTCCTACATACTGAAGCTCAGCCTCTGTGCTGGGCTTCTGGGAACTACAAGTGATTTCAACAAATATGAGGTGCTGTTTATGATTCTGTCAACTCCTCATTATATAGGGAAGCGGTCAGTTATTAATTTTCTAAATTACCCTGTTACCCCCTCAATGATAGTAAATCACAGAGCTAAACCCGGTACCTCCCAGGCAGTATTTTATGCCTCTTACCAACGCAGAAACTCTGGTAGTCTTCCCCTGGAATCAGTGTGACTGTTGTGAAGGAGAGAAAAGCAGCAAACAGTGTTGAGACCCTCCACAGCTCTGCACTTCCAGCTGCGGCAGAAGTGCCCACTCTGGCAGTCTGGCAGGAACAGGAGTCTCCTGTGAGCCCAGCGTGGCTCGTGACTGGTTCACCTGCAGAGACTTTTTTGTTTTTTGGGTTTTTTTTGAATTGGCAACACATTCTGTTGCCACACACGCTCCAACTCCCTCTGTCATACTTCATATTGCTGTTTGCGAACTCTGTGTCTTCCAAAGTCTTGTTTTATGTAAATATTTGGGGGGGGGGCACTCCAAGGTGCCAAAGTCTGTGGGTAGCAGCTGGCTCCCACCCGATTCTGAGGAGTGGTCTCTCCCTTGTGCACCGTCTTTCCGGGCAGCCCCTAAGGCCCTCTCCAGATGATAAAGTCTGATGTTTGGAAAATAGCTTGCCCACATAGGCAAACTATGGTTGTAGCTACTATTGTCCACATAGGAAACCTTCACTGAAGCAGATCCTGCACCGCCCTCTTCCTCAGTGTTCTGGCCTGTTTTCCTCTCGTACTTTGACTCTTATCCTTTACTCTCTCTTATATTTCTCTCCCCTAGACTAAGATGGTCTTCCCTCTTCCATTCCTTTCAAGCCTCATTTCCTCCAAGAGTTCACCAGCCAGGCCCTTGGTCATGGCCAAACTGAGGTATACATAAGCAGGTCCTGGAGCCACCCAGCTCTTGCTGCAGAATGGGCTCAGTGGATCCTGGACACCCTCAGGTTGGCTTCTCTCTTCAGCACAGCCTGACACCTCTCAGAGCAGATTGTTTTCTATTAAAAATGGAGCCGGCCTTGCCCAGTGCTCTGGGGTTCACTAATATGGACCCTCTGACCAAACCGAAGGGATGCTGCACTTGGATGGGAGCCAGTCAGCAGCTCTCTGGGTCTGTGGTTTTCACACTAAGGGGTTGTGTTTCTCTGAGAACAGTAGTTATATCCCTGGAAACTTTGATCTTGCTGCCCAGAGGTGAGGGTGCAGGTGGGGAAAGGCAGGATAAGCCTTCTGTGTTGGTGAGGGGAGCAGGGTTGGGATGAGACCAGCATGGGCATGGGACCAACCTAGGGCAGGACTACATGGGCTGTTCTGGGCATGCATTGCACTGTAGTGTGCCCTGGCCCTGCTCCCTCCTCCCACCTCCCATCCTTCATCTGCTCTGTTACACCACAAACATCTCTCTTATATTGTGCTTCAAAAGAAACGCATGGTGTCAGCTGGGAGCAGCCACGGACAGGAAAGCTAAGCACCCCCAGGCTGCTCTATGGAGTGCAGTGCTGTAGGGACTAGGTCTTGCCAAAAGCCTTCAAACTCAACTGCCTCTTCCATTTCCAGGGACTCCTTCCTCATTCAAAGGCTTGGGGGTCTGGGTGGTTCCCTCACCTTTCTGCACATTCATTGCTCTGCTTTCTTGTATAAACTGTGAGGGACAGAAGTTGACTAGACACCATCTCTGGCCTCCAGGGATTCAGTGTCTGATGCAAAAGATAGATATGTAAACAATGACAGCCAAGAGATAAGAGCCATACTGGAAACCTGCTGGAGTTACCCGCTGTGGGAAGACAAGCAGGCAGGGGCTGGCCTCTCACCATACAGCAACATAGTTTCAGGGCACATCCCAGGTACCCAGAAATGGCCACTGCTGTGAACAGTGATGGGGATATAACTATGACAGTGGACTGGGAGAAGGTACTTGACCAGGCCCTGGGCTGCTGGCTGTCATAGCAAAACCAGACCTCTCTCCAGTTTCCTTTTAAATTTCACATTTCCTCCCACCCTCCACCATCCCCAGTTCTGGCTGGGAACCACCCTTTAAAAGTCCCTGCATTTCCCAGCTGTAGGCGTAATGTGGGCTCTGGGTAGATGTCCTTCCTAGCAGTGGTATGTCTGGGTCACAATAAACAAGGATCCCATTGCAGTCTGTCCAGTCAAACACCAAGGGTGACTGTTCACTATGAACACTCTTCTGAGTGAGGCAAAGATATTCCTCACAAAGTGACCTACAGTAGCAGACATTAGAAATAACCAAAGTGTCTGAAAAGATGTAAATGGGAGACTGATTAAACAACTTGTAGTATACAGATATGATGCAACATTATGCAGCCCACTGGGAGCTGAGCTACAGAGATTTTAGGGTTGTAGAAAGTGGATGAAGAGTTAGTACGAACTCAAATGTTTTTAACTATTTTTATTTATTTATTTTTATTTTATGTGTATGAGTATTTTGTCTGCACTTATGAAAGTATACCACATACATGCTTGCCTGCAGAGGCCAGAAAAGGGCATCAGATCCCCTGGAACTGGAGTTTGGAAGGTTGTTAGCTGCCTTGTCGTTGCTGGGAACTGAACCTAGGTCCTCTGCAACAGCAGCCAGTGCTTTTAACCACTGAGCCATCTCTCCAGCCCCTCAAGTATGATTTTAAAAGTTTTATATGCATATATATATATATATACTGTGCACATACACATATATACATCTCTGCATAAAAGAAAATATACCAAAATGTTAATAATTTTTATTTGCTTTTATACTTTCTCTGTATTTCTCAAAGATTTATTAATGAATGTTTTAATCATATAATGAGCTCAAACTCAAATGAAGGTGGTGTTAATATTGATTGATTGATTGACTGATTGACTGATTGATTGATCTTTGAGACAGAGTCTCCCTGTAGTTCAGGCTGGCCTGGAACTGACCATGTACCCCAGGCTGGACTTGGATTCATGGTAATCATCTTACTTCAGCCTCCTGAGTGCTGGGATTGTAGGTGTGAATCACCACACCCAGCTAGTTTTCTTTTTTTTTTTTCTTTTTCTAGAGATGTTTAGATACCACATTGTTAGTGTGTCTGTGTTGGAGAGGATAAGAAGATAAAAGAATACAGTAGTTATCTTAAAAGAAACAAAACAAAACAAAACAAAACCCAAGGCTGGTGAGGTGGCTCAGGAGGTAAAAAGCACTTGCTAGCAGAAGCCTGACCACCCTGAGGTCAGTTCCTGGGAATTCACAGAGGAAGGAGAGAAGTGATTCCCAATAATTGTCCTCTGACCCCACACACTCCAGCACACACACACACACACACACACACACACACACACACACACACATACACACACATCATATGCATGCACTAATAATAACATTTAAAAATAAAATTTAAAAATGCCATTAATCATGGTTAGCAGTTCTCAGGACTGATGGAGAAGTCTGGTTCTACATGCCACCAGATAATACAATCATAAGCAGGGGGTGAGTGTATGGTCACATGGTTTATAGCTCAGCAGCAGAAGAGGCCACTGATGTAAAAGCTGTCTAACATCCTCACAGCTGGGTCGAGAGGCACTGGGGAACATCTGCAGAGGCTGTGTGGAGCATGGTGCAGAGGAACTGGCTCATGTAGTCTCTAATGGGAGCCTTCCAACTCTAACACTTGGTGGATTTCTCTAAGCCCTGACCCTTTGCTAGCCATCGAGCTATGCAAGCCTTTTCATTACCACCTAGCATCTGTTGATAGAGAACTCCCTTCGGTTCCCGTCAGTTTTCTGCACAAGAATTATGTTAACCTGTCACAGCCATAGGGGAGACAAATGAAAGACCTGAGACTCCAGAATCCAGCAGGAGGCTGTTGTGAAAGACCACGGAGAAAGCTAGGGAGCTGGCTCAGGAGACAAGAACCTGCTGTGCAAGCGTGGGGACCTGAGCTTTGATTCCCAACACCCACCTAAAAGCCAGATATGGCAATGGGCGTCAGTAACTCCACTGCTAGGGGTGGAGACAAGTGGATCCTGGGGTTCACTGGCATCCAGTGGCCAACCAGTCTAGCTGAAACAGACAGCTCTAGGGACGGCAAGAGACCCCATCTCAAAAAAAAAAAAAAAAAAAATCAGGTGCATTAGAAGATGCCCAGCATCCATCTCTGGCCTCCACATGTATACACAAGGGTGAGCACACCCACACACAGACAATAAAACAAAATAAAATAAGACAATGGAGCTCTAAGCCAGAGCAGTCCTAGTGGGGGCAGGAGTGAAGTCAAGGGCTCCAAAGGTATCCCGGAGACAGAGTTGGCTGAGTTTGCTACTGAGCAGGACTGGAGACCTAGAAGAGGAGGAGAAAACATGCATGTTGAAGGGGACTCTGGTTGTTCCATTTGCAATTCTTTTTATTCATGCCACAACACAGGGAGCTTCCTTGGGCCGTCCCTTTCTGTCCCTCCTAGCTCCGGCTGTCAGACATTGAGCTACTAGAATAAGCCTTGAGCTGTTCTCCTTCCAGACACTTTTCCTTTGCAGCCAGGCTGAAACTCCTTGATGGGGCACCCAGGTACGTGCTGGTCAGCTGGCCGTTACCTCCCTGTCCGGACACTAAAGATGCCTATGACTTGAAGGTCTCTACTGCTCACTGACCTCTCCGTCCCTGCCCTTCCCACAGGGATCTCACCTCCGATGACCAGATCGTACTGCTCAAGTCAAGTGCCATTGAGGTTATCATGTTGCGCTCCAATGAGTCTTTCTCCATGGATGATATGTCCTGGGACTGTGGCAGCCAGGACTACAAGTATGATGCCACTGATGTAGTCAAAGGTGTGACTGAACTCTGCCTTCACCTTCTCCAGCTCCCCGACCCTGACTCTAGCCTGCCTGGTGTCCTGGGTCATGACCAGGCACATGGAAGGGGGCTAGCCACAACAGGAAGAGAAGGGGGAAGGGGAGGCCCAGTAGGGGCTGTAGGTAGGTCCTGATGCCTCGGTTCTGCCTACACTCTGCCTATTCTCTCTCACAGCTGGGCACACCTTGGAGCTGATTGAGCCCCTGATCAAGTTCCAGGTGGGGCTGAAGAAGCTGAACTTGCATGAGGAAGAACATGTCCTGCTCATGGCCATCTGCATTATCTCCCCAGGTATGGAGCCCAGCATGGAGGAAGTGGGAGACCCACCTGGGAAGTTGGGAGTGTGAGTTGCAAAGACTTACTGAGAGCCACCATGGCAGTCTGAAAGGGGGGGGGAACAAAGACTTAAATAAGGAACCACTCACTTTGCTGGGTTCCCATGGCCCATGTGCTTTGTGGATGTGGAAGGGTCTCTTGCCACCTGTGGCTTTGTAGTACAGAGACCATAGGTGATTCATAGGATTCTGAGGAACTAGATGAACAGGCCTGGGTGTTCCCAGTACTCAGGCTCTGTTCTTGTGTGAACTGGCCTGAACTTTCCTGTCATCTGAAGTTCCAGAGTATTAAAAAACAAAACAAAACCTGAAGGATGATAGATGGTTCTGCTTAGACTGATTTTGGAGACAGTGGTCTGTGACCCTTGCATTCTTCATGCCTGGGGAAGAAAGAGAGAAAAGACTGAGAATGAAGTTATTGTAGTCTTGGGCTGTTATATTGGTGATGAAGCCCAACCATTACAGCTCTGTCTCAGCCTGGACCATTCACATACCTGCTAGGACCAGGCATTGGGCAAGGCACAATTCCTCTCCCATGAAGCTCAAGGGGAGACATTAAACAATGTCTAATTGTTTAATGACTAATTTGTAATGCACCAAGAGTTTTGAAAATAAACATGAGTGTGATACTATAGGAGCAAGCTTGATACAGCTCTGCGTATGGAGGTACAGGGTCAAGAACAGCCTTTGTCAGGAAGGGCTTTGAGGCTGTTCTCTGATGATCAGTCAGTCAAAGAAAAAGAGCTGGTCTCCAGACCAGCAGAGGGAAAGCCATGGCCAGACACCAAAGCAAGGACCAAACTTAGAGACAGGAGTAAAATGAGGTGGGGGCGGGGCTTACCAATGGGCCTATAAAAGGACTTGGTGGCAAATGCAGTGGGAACTTGCTGAAGGCCTGGGGGCTTCCTGAGATGGGGTATCTGTGTGGGTGGATGGTGAGAGCCCCTGTGTCTTCCTCCATCCCCTGCCACAGACCGACCTGGGGTGCAGGACGCCAAGCTGGTTGAGGCAATCCAGGACCGCCTGTCCAACACACTTCAGACCTACATCCGCTGCCGCCATCCACCCCCAGGCAGCCATCAGCTCTATGCCAAGATGATCCAGAAGCTAGCTGACCTACGGAGCCTCCATGAGGAGTACGCCAAACAATACCGTGCCATCTCTGACCAGCCTGAGAATAGCATGAAGCTCACGCCCCTTGTGCTAGAGGTGTTTGGCAATGAGATCTCCTGATTAGGGCGACCTGTAGTGGCGCCTGGGCAGTCCGCTCCTCCAGAGCCCTGTGCCTGGGCCCTGTGCTGGTTGTAGCCCAGCAGTGCCTCCTGGAGTCTAGCTCCTCCTCTGCCATCAACCCTCTCTGCCTGGCCCATCCTTTCTCCTGTCCAGGCTAACACCAGGTTTCCCTTTCCTGCAGGCCACAGGCTGCCCCCTATCCCTTGAGACCTCAATTATGAGAGGCTGCTGCTCATTTGAAAAAAAAAAAAAAAAAAAAAAAAAAAGCAGGGGAGGGGTGGGGGCACACACCTTTAATCCCAGCACTAGGGAGGCAAAGGCCAAC